GTTGCGCCTTAACCACTCGGCCATCTTGCCTTACGATACAAACTGGCGTTGATGATGCGTACATAACCTACTTTTTTTGGGTCGTGTTGATTGATGAGTGAGATTGCCTCCACATATTACGCAAATGACGGCTGCAATGAGGACCTTCCGGGCTGCCGATGTGCAGCGAGGAGGGCAGTCGAGCCCTATGCAACCCCGGCGAGCAAGCTCAGAGACCTTGGCAGACAACAACGATCGAGTCTCCTGCTGTATCTCACTTCATACGACGCTGCATCGCGCAAGCTCATGTTGCCGACAGTCTGGACGCCTCGAGTGACCCGACGTGCTGCCCTTGCCTCTGCCTCGATTGCTCTGCTGCTTGCTGCGGGCGGAACTGGCTCGCGCACTCTGATTCCGGCGTGTTCAGCACAGCGCTTTTCGCATCACAAGTCTTCAGTGCTTAAGGCAGGCACTGAAAACGCTTGCACGACGTCGTCCTCGCGCAACGCAAGCTACGCCTCGGGCGGGGGAGGATTCGAATCAGTCGACAACCCGTTCAAAATGGACCGTCCTCTCAACGTCTTTGGCCGACCGCTGGCACAATGTGGTACCAACCCCATCACCGGATTCTACCGCGACGGAGTAAGTTTCACATTGAAGCGACGACGATGAGCGTCATGCTGACCTCTTGCCCTCGGTTCTCGCGTGGTAGTACTGCAATACCGGTCCTGCTGATGGTGGGTCGCACACGGTGGCAGCGGTGGTGTCGCAAAAGTGGCTCGACTATTCGGCGTCGAAGGGCAACGATCTTCGACCGATGCTGTCCGAGGGTTGCTCGTGGTGTCTGTGCGTGTCGCGCTGGAAGCAGAGCCTGGATGCATACAAGCGCGGCGAGCTCGCCAAGGACGGTGTGCCCAAGATCAAGCTCCAGGCTACCCACCAGCGCGCACTCGACATGGTGTCCATCGATGACCTCAAGGCTTTCGCCCTCGACGACGCGTCCATCACGCCCAACGCCGCGTCGCAGGACCCTGCCAATGGCGGCCCTATCCGCTGAACCCTACCTTTTGTGCCCTGGTGTTGCTGTGTCTCCTTATCATCTGCCGAGTCTTTTTTTGGGGTTCTGTGTCTACGAATCGCTTGCGCTTATATCTTGTTGGAAATAGTATCTCTGGTCTCGCAGCGACGAGGAAGCTGATTCGAGGATGTTATTACACGATGAATGATGGTGTTGTACAAATTGGCGATGGATGGTTGGTGGCGGTAGTGCAGGCTAGGACTCGTCGTCGATCTGCTTCCATATTTGCTCGGTCTTCTTGCGGTTCTCCCTCGACTCGCGAATGTGGTTCGCCGTGCGTTCGACGCGCTGTATCCCCATACACATGGTACAAATGTCAACGAGCTGCTGTGGTGGTCTTGGCAAAGGCGTGGACGTTGACTTACCTCTTGTCGCAGACACATGTTGAGGTCGTGCTTGATGCCGTTGCAGCCGCCGGTGATCTTGTGCCACACACCTTTGGCGTGACACTCGTTGAGCGCCTGAATCAGGTGAGCGCAGTCTGAAATAAGCGATGCCATTGATCCGCTTCTTGGTCAGATCTTGTGCATACACGTGAGTCGAGTCGTTCGAGGAGTCTACTTACGCTGCAGCTTGCTATCGCCCACGAGATGCTGTGGACGCAACGGTCGCAGCCAGAGGCGCAGAGAAGATCGTCAGTCGTCAGGCACGGCACAGCGCTCGTTCTGGAAGCTTGACTGTGTGCTCACCGGATGCATGGTCGAAGTGCTGTGGCCGGTGCAGGCGTAGAGGACGGGGGAAGCGGAGTGCGAGGCCGGACAAGGATTTGGTATGAGGTCAGACAACTTTTCCAGCCGGAAGTCGGGCAAGGATGGGCGCGTGAATGTGTGACAAAGGTGTCGGATCGCAGAGACGCACACTGTTCGAAAAGAATCGGCGCGCTTTTTGGGTGTTGGTCTGGCTCTTGGCGCGCGACTCAGGGGTGAGAGCGTGGAGGCCGAGGTGGGGCGGAGGAGCAGTGGCTGCAATCAACAATCAACATCTAGGGGTCTCGCTCTGCCCCTTTTCCGCGTCTGTGAATTTCAGCTGGCGCCAAGCTGCGATGCTGCGATGCTGCGATGCTGCAATTTAGACCGCTGCTGCAGCCACACCCACACTTACACTGCCTCTGTGCAGCCGGTGGAGGAGGGCCCATGCAGAAGGCTGCAGAGCAGCAGCCGCCCACCGGCCCGCCCCGTCCATGTTTGGTGGCAGTGCCCACATCTTCATTCCGGTCGGCTGCCACCGTCAGCACTGCCAACACTACCACCATCACGCTCCTCCGATCCCATCCTCACTCTCTGTTATTTCTTGCTCTCGACGACCTCTAACGACAGATTCACAGAATCGGGAAACACACACGGCACCAACTACGACGGATCAGCACGCACTGCCCACATTGCTATCTTCGCCGCTAGCGTTGGTCTCGCGTCTCTAGAATCCTTTCCATCGGCGACCTCGGCTAGAACAGCATTCATCAGACGTAGGGTGCAACTTCGTCTTTGCTCCAGCGCGGCACGATGCCCGACTTCATGTCGCTCAAAAAGGTGTGGGGAAAGCTAGACACAGGCAGCGGCGACGCGCAGGATCCAGCAGGGCCCTACGCTCAAGGTATCGGCAATACGGGCGCAGGTGGGCCACCTATCGTTCTCGCACAGGATGACCGGGTGGCGCGAGTCAACATGATCCTGCGTGCGCTCCAGGTGTTCTTTGGCTTGGTCACGCTGCTCATCGCCGTCTACATGGCGACGTTTCAGTCGAAATGGATCGGAAGCCCATCGGGCCTCACAGGCCTCATCCTCTTCCTCGCAAGCGCAAGTCTGCTCGCATCGCTGGTCTTCCTGATCGTGCCCATCATCTACGAGCGCTCGGGCTACAAGACCATGAAGGGCTTCACGCGTGCGCTCTCCGAGGCGCGCGTCGGCATGGTGTGCAACGGCATCTTTGGCTTCCTGCTGCTCATCCTCGCGGTCACGCAGACCATCTCGGCCTACACCTCGGCGGGATGCAAGGATCCCAAGAACGACCCGCACGCAGGCGGCAAGGATCGCGCCGATTTTGTCGACCAGCTCGGCGGATGGTGTCGCACCAAGCGCGCCGAAGCCGCCTTTTGCTGGTTCCTTTGGGTGACGTGGTTCCTGTCGCTCCTGCTCTTCCTGCGCCAGTGGAAGCTCGAGCGCAAAAACGGCCCACGCATCCCGCCTTTTGTGCATCCGAACGAGGACTCGGCATTCGAGCCCATCAACGATCTCGACGACGAGGACGCTTTCGACGAAGCCAAGACCGCGAGGTACGGCGACGGCGGCGACGGCAGGTACGGCGTCGCAACCGCAGCGTATGGAGGCGGACAGCCCAACATGGCCTCGTACGACCGCCGTGGCAGCAACCCACTTGCTGACATCGAGGCGCGCTACGGCATGAGCCCCGCTTATACCGCGGATCCGTTTGCGGACGGACGTGCGACAACTCCAGCCTACAGCCGTCCTTCGTACGACTACAACGCGTACGGCTCAGCCGGCGTGCCCGGCGGCTATGCGGCCGATCCGTACTCGGCCATCCACCATCAGCTCGGCACCGCTCGCCCCGGCGACCGCCCGCCGCAGCTGCCCAGCATGGGCTACCCGTACTGAAGAGATCGCCTGTCGACCCGCCCAACTGTATTCTATTCTCGTTCGGACACTGTGCTTCCATCGCTGCTGTGTGCTACCCCGCCCCAATGTCGATTCTATCTAATGGAATGTTTCCAACCCACCCTTGGCGGCCATTTGGCTGTTCAGCAGTGCGAGGGTTTAGGCGCAGTTGCACGTGGTTGCAAATATCCGCGGAGATCGACGGAGCTGTCTCGGTGCGATTCGGCATGCTCGGGGATGATGTTGAGGCTGAGATGGCAGCGCATGAACAAAGCCCCCGGTTCGGACGAGCCTCTTCCGACGCAGGTCGGATCGCGTCTTGTGAAATTTGACTCGCTCCACCATTTTGCTCTTGGCGATAACTGAGCCGCTTTCTCGGGTTCTATCTTCGAGGCATTGCCGCCAGAAAGGAAAGGAGACCAAGGCAACGAGCAAGATGCTGCGAGTCGAGCTGTCAATCTGCTGATGGAATGGCAAGCTTGCCAAAGGAAGAGCTTCGGGACAGACAGGCAAACAAGCGAGCGTAATTTACTCTCGCAGGAATGCGTGCACATGGTGATGGCACGGCGACCCGTCAGGAACGAGCGGCGTTCAGCTGCCAATTCTGTTGCAAATGCAGCCAAAGCACACAAACCCGACACCGTCGACACGCGACGGCTCGACGCCCGTTGGCTCCCCCACGCGGGACTCAGCCTCCCTCGCTTAGTCGCCTGCCAGCGTCGGCTAGATGTCCCTCAGCGCCGGTCCACAATCGCTCGGCATGCTCGCTCGTTCCGTTGGAGTCAAGCTTCCCTTCTACTTCACTGCCGGAGCGGTGCGTGCTCTTGCTTCTACGTCGCAACCGCACCACTTGCTTCGTCGGACCCTTGCATCTACCTGCCCCACATCGATGCTCGTGGCTGCGCCAGCGCGACTCAGCTTTGCACCACATCGGTGCTGGTCCAACCTGGCTCAGCCTGCCTCCAGATCCGGACAGCTTGAAAAGCAGACCCTCACAACGAGGCCGAGTCGCCATCGTTCGTTCCTACCCATCCTCATCCACATCCTCCAATTTCGAGGACCGCACGCCTCCCAGGTCCAAGAACGATGGCGGTGTGCAATGATGGCGTCTTTACGCCCGTCTCCGACTGCCGCTTCTTTGACTTCACCATCGCCTTCTCCAACGCCATCTTCGTCCTTCTGCCGTCATGCCTCGCCCTGCTCCTCATGACCCTCAGGATGGTGCGCCTGCGTCGCAAACCCGACATCCCCACCGCATCCGCCCAGACCCATCTCTCGCTTTTGCGCTCGTGCACGCCCCACTCCGACCCCATCAGCCTCTTCGGCGCCTTCATCTACATCGTACATGCGATCCTCAGCCTAGTGCTCGTCGCGGTCCTTGCTGCGCCCTCGTCTCGCGCTCTTCGACATGCCCTCGACGCCGGCACCGGCATGGCCAGCGTCGTGCTTGCATTTCTCACCGCTCTGCTCGCTGTGCCCCTTTCGGTGGCAGAGCGCCGAAAGACGCGCGGAGGTTACATGCTGCTGCCTCTGTGGCTCCTCGCATCCCTCTTCTTCACCGCCTGCCGCATTCGAACCTTCAATGCTATCCCGGCCATCCGATACAGCTCCTTCTTCTACGTCTACATCCTCACCTTTGCCTGTCAGGCCTTCATGCTCTCGGTCGAGAATGCCAACGGCGTTCGCTCCACGCAGCTCCAGTCCAGCCACGAGTCTCGCGCAAGCTTCTTTTCCCGCCTCCTCTTCATCTGGGTCATCCCTCTTCTCTGGACTGGCTTGCGCAAGCCGCTCGAGATGCACGACCTCGACCAGCTCAAACCCGAATATCACGGCCGCTCTCTTGCCCGCAACTTTATCGCCAGCTGGACGGGCGCGCCGATCGAGCCCGAGTCGGGAGCTGACGCCTCCGAGCACGCACACCTCGCCGACACGCACCACCACGCCGACCTCAAACAAAGCCCCTCGCGCACCAGCAGCGAAGCCTACCCACTTGAGAAGCTTGGCACCTCTGCGTCCGAATCCGAATCGGGTGCACACGGTTCCGTCCCCAAAGCTACGCCTTCTTACACGCGCGCCTCGTTCCCCAAGAGGAGGGTTTCGCGTAGTCTGCTGCACGCCACCCTGCACGCCTTTCCTCTTGCCGCTCTTGCGCCAGTCCCTTGGAAGCTGCTGCTCACCGCCACAGAGCTAGCCCAACCGCTGCTCGTCTCGACTACACTCGCTTTCGTCCAATCGTACTCCGACGTCAGCGAGGGCGGACAAGCCTCCGCGGCCCAGCCTGCTGTCTACGGATGGGGATTGGTGGGCGCTTATGCCTTTGTCTATCTCGGACAGGCACTCGCCACTGGTCAATACTGGTATGCCAGCTCACAGCTCATGACCCGGCTTCGAGGTGCGTACATCGAAGCGATCTACCGCAAGGGTCTCAATCTCCATCTCCGCACCGCGCGCACCAGCGGCGGCGGCAAAGCGGCCAATCTGATGAGCGTCGATAGCGAGCGCGTAGTCAAGGCCGTCGATGTCATCCACTCGCTGTGGAGCGGTGTGATCACCATTGCCGTCGGTGTCTATCTCCTCTACAACCAGCTTGGCCTCGTCTTCTTCGCATCCATGGCTTCCGTCTTTGCCTGCTTCCTGCTCACGCCGCTGGCGAGCCGCGGCATCGGCGCCAAGCAAGCGGCTTGGAGCAGCCAGACGGATAAGCGTGTCAATCTCACCTCGAGCGTCACCTCGGACATCAAAGGCGTCAAGTTTTCGGCATACGAAGACGTCCTCCACTTCAAGATTTGCAAGGCTCGTGCCGACGAGTTGTCGGTTCGCAGCAACATGATGAAGCAGGTCACCGGTGTGGTTGTCTTTACCAACTGCACTAGCGAGATGCTGGGTCTGTCCACCTTCATCACACTCATCATCGTCGATAAGCTCAGTGGATCGTCCCGCTTCGACCTCAACACCATCATCACAACGCTCACCATCTTCACCGTGCTGCAGGACCCGCTGCTCAAGATCGGCCAAGAGTACTCATACCTCCTCCAGGCTTATGCCAGTATGCGACGTATCGAAGAGTTCCTCAACAGCGAAGACAAGCCGGACGTGCAGGGCGCGGTGGATGACGGGCTTGCGGCTCGAGCAGCAGCGGCCTCGAATGCAGACCGGGAGCCGGCTGGATTTGCCGCCCGTTTTCAGAATGCAGAGCTTGGCTGGCAGGATCAGCCGGTATTGTCGCAGGTCGATCTGGAGGTTCCGCGCGGATCGCTGACCATGATCTGTGGTCGTCTGGGCCAGGGCAAGTCGACGCTTCTGCAGGCCATGCTCGGCGAGTCGGACCTGCTTAGCGGCAGCCAGCAGCTTCCACTTCTCGCCGATCGTATCGCCTACGTGAGCCAAGATGTCTGGCTGCAGGAGAAGCGCTCGATTCGCGAGAACATCATCTTTGCCACTGGAGAGTACGAAGAGGAGCGATACATGACCGCGCTGCGTGCATGTGCGCTGTTGGAGGACATCGACAACTTGCAGGAGGGCGATGCTACTTCGGCAAGCTCGCTCAGTGGCGGTCAGCGCCAGCGTGTCGCCGTGGCGCGTGCCATCTATAGCGATGCCGAGTCGTACCTCTTCGACGACATCACCAGCGCTCTGGATGCCGAGACGGCGGCACACATGTGGCGGTCGCTCATGGCTCCCTCGGGCCTGCTGAGCGGCAAGACGGTGGTGATGGCTACCAATGCCGTGCACCTGCTGCACCACGCGCAGCTCATCGTCCGCATCGACGGCGGAAAGATCGCCGAGCAGGGCCGGTACGAAGGGCTCTCGATGAAGGGCAAGGATGCCATCTCGCGCGCCAGCCTCGACTCGAAGAGGGTCTTGCCTGCTGCCGACGTCGCCAACGACAAGCCCGTCAAGAGCGGCGCTGCGGAAAAGCAAGAGGCGGTCATGACAGGCTCTGTCGGCTGGGGCGTCTACGTCAACTGGGTCAGGGCGGCGGGTCTTTGGAACTTTGGTGTCTTTGTCGGCTGCAGTGTCATGTCGACAGTGGCGCAGATTGGCACGACGTATTTCCTGCAGGCTTGGGCGACCTCGCAGCAGCGCGACCCGTTCAAGGCATTGGGTGCCTGGATTGCCGGCTTCGTAGCCTTGATCCCGGGCAATGCTCTTGCTCTCGGTCTGGGATTCTGGGTCATCTCGCTCTACTGCGTCGAATCGGCGGGGAAGAAGCTGCACGCCGGCGAGCTGCGAGGCGTGCTTTCGGCGCCCATCTCGTTCTTCAGCAAGTGGAGCTCGGGCCAGATCACCAACCGCTTCTCGCAGGATCTGTACAACCTGGACCAGACCTTCACCCAGGCCTTGACCAATCTGGTCTTCATCGCGTGCGGTCTCGTTGGCTCTCTGGTCACCATGATCGTGCCCGCACCGTACTTGGCGGCTCTGGCTGTTGGCTTGATCGGCTTTTCGTGGGCCTTGCAGCGACTCTACATCCCGTCGAGTCGACAGCTGCGTCGGCTCGAGATGGCAGCCAAGAGTCCGCTCTACTCGCTCTTTTCGGAAACGTCGTCGCCGTCGGGCCTGGCGACGGTGCGTGGATTGAAGCGCGAGGCGTCGTTGGTGGAGCTAAACACGCAGTCGCTGGATGTTTCGCAGGCGCCGTACTACCACCTGTTTGCGGTGCGCAGGTGGCTGCAGACGTGGCTGCTGCTGTTGACGACGGTGGTCAACGTAATGCTGGTGCTACTGGTGGTGGTGCTGCGTCATTCGTCCAAGGCAGGTCTGTTCGGTGTGGCGCTGGTCCAGGCCACCTCGCTCGGTATCATGCTCAACCACACCGTGATCAGCATCACCGAAGTCGAAATCGCAGGCGTGGCGCTCGAGCGCGTGCGCGAGTTCACGGATCTTCAGCCTGAAGAAGGCGCAACCCCGGAGCGCAAGCACACGTACGACAATGCGCGCGAGGCGATTCGAGGCGATATCGAGTTCGATGGCGTCACTGTCTCGTACAGCGCTGATCTCGAGCCTGCGGTCAAGGAGCTCAGCTTCACACTGCAAGCGGGGCAGAGGTTGGGTCTTGTCGGGCGCAGTGGATCGGGCAAGAGTACGACGCTGCTGGCACTGTTCCGGATGATCGAGATGCGATCGGGATCGATCCGGATCGATGGACGCGACATCAGCGAGATGGGCGCACGGGAGCTTCGGTCGCAGATGACGATTGTCGCACAGAATCCGCTGGTGCTGGCCGCGTCGATTCGCGAGAATCTGGACCCCGAGGGCGTATGCAGCGACGAGGAGATGTGGGATGCGCTGCACAAGTGCCATCTGGCCGAGTTTGTCAAGAAGCAGGAAAACGGGCTGGAGGAGGTGCTGCTGACGGGCAAGTCGTTCATCAGCTCTGGGCAGAAGCAGTTGCTGTCGCTGGCACGGGCACTGCTGCGAAAGCGCAAGATCCTCGTGCTCGACGAGGCGACCAGCGCCATGGATGTCGAGACCGACGCGGCTGTGCAGAACGTCCTCGAGACCCAGTTCGCAGACTGCACCGTCATCGCGGTCGCGCACCGCATCGCCACGATCATCGGGTTTGATCAGATCATCTGCATGTCCGCTGGACGCGCCATCGAGAGCGGCCCGCCACAAGTGCTGCTCAAGGCCCGCGGCGAGTTCTGGGCGCTCGCTGCCGAGCAGAAGTGCGTCTAGCCTCGCGCTGACATGCAGACACTTTGTTAAGATGCGAGTCTCGCCTTGTTGCAATGGATACACTTTGTCACTTTGAGCATCTTGGCAGTGACATTGGCTCACTGCAGGTGCGAGCCGGAGATCGCCGTTTCGCCTGGCAGGCTGAGCGGGAAGCTGTCTATATGTCGTCGTCACGCTCACTGTGTGGATCCCGTGCGCTTTGTGCGGGTATGAACGCTCCACGCTCCCACTTTGAGCATCTCGTTGAGCAGCTGAGAAGTCGGACGCTCGCCGTGTCACTGTACGAGGATCGGCATGTTGCAATGATACTGCAATGACACTCTCTGGGACACAAGCTGTCGGAGCCTTTGCACCTACGCACGGTAGCAGCACTTGGGTCCGATACGCAAGCAGCCGCGTTGCGATGCAATCCAGCCTCATACGCTGTGACATTCTGATGATTCCGCGATACGAGGACCGCGATGTTCTGTAAGCGAGCAAGCCACTCACACTCCTTGCCTCGCTCTGATACGAGGGATGCTCACGATGCAACGGGCTCAGCTTGAGCAAGATGGCGGACTGGGAAGCGGAGGATGAAGCTGGCTTGTGCTTCGGTCAAGTCCGAGCGGCCCTACTCGCACGGGGTCACGCGGGGAGGCTTGTATAGATAATGAGTCCCGACGATGGTGGCGTTGAGATTGCGGGGTAACGGCCCTCGAGATAAGGGGGCCGAGGATGCCGTGCGGGGTTGGGAATGCAGCGATTGCGGGAAGCACACCGTCATGGGCAGCGAGATAAGTTTTCGGAGATGGCCGAGATTCACGGTCATCGCGGGGATGCTATTGGTGGCTGCAACGAGGGCGGCTGCTTCTCTGCACCATGTGTCTTTTTGACGTGAGAGATGCTTCCCGAACGTCGTGTGGCCTTGTCAATGACAACCTCGGCCGCGTCGTCAACACTGTCGCTACCGTCGTACGACAAGAAGAGCACAAGCCTGGCTTGGTGTGGTCGACTGCGGCAACGAGCAGGGCGCTTCCGGCCGACAGAACCTGGCTGCACTTGAAGCGAAGAATTTTGTTTTCCACCCAAGCCGGGAGATTTTTTTTGACAGGTAGGACATGGCTTGATGTCGTTTCAAAGCCCGCGCGAAGAGCGTGATTGGCAGCCACAGAGATAGCATAGTTCGGCCCGCCTTTGCACCTCGTGGACGGCGCCCGCAAGGATGTTTCGAATGTGGTCGCCAGCCGCATGTCGAGCGCGATGGCCACGATGCCCGAAACCGCCACAGCCCGCTGTCTGCCTTTCCTCCTTCACCGTAAGTTAGCCGCGGGCCGAGAGACCTGCAAACAAGAGGGCTGGAACGGGAGCGGTCGCGAATGGGTTAGCAGGAACTCGCTTATCGTTGCGCTCGTGCAGAAGTGCATTGGCACGGCCGTGCGCATCTTCGCCTACTGTAGCAGCCACCCTTCCCAGCAAGGGCGTGTAGCACGACTCTCGCTTGCATGGCAGCCGAAGAGCGACGCATTGGCTAGTGGCCTGCGCCCTGCCTCCGCCGTCGCGCCTGGATGGAGCTAGCCGAGGTGAAAAGAACGATTTGGCGCTCGTCTGCTGTCCGCTACAGCATGCAACCGCGAAAAAGGGTGGTGAGGAGCGAAGTCCGAAAATTCACCGCTGCGCTGCTTCGCGCCAGAGCTGGGCTGCCGGTGGAAGGGATTCCGAGAAAAAAAATGCAGCCCTGCTCTCGATCCGAATCTTGATGCAAACCAACGCTCGCATGCTGTTGGGCTTCTTCTACGCCGACGTACAGTGCAGAGGCGCGCGTAAAGACTAGCACGGCGGATGTAGCCTTGGCAACCACATCGACGTCGAGCCAAGTCAAGCGAAGAAGCAGCGTTGGGTGGGCGGAAGCGCGCATCCCGTCGGACGCTCTCCTCCAGGCGTTGGCAGGGGGCGTGAACAAAAGTTTATTTATCATACTTTGCCCTGTCAAGCGGTGTTCGGGGCGCGGATTTTTTTTTTCCCACTAAAAATGAAAGTGGCAGGTCGCACGGTCGTTGCCACCAGCCGAATCGCACAGAGCTTGTGCGACGCGCTCTCCCGCCTTGGGTGGCATGAGGACCGTCGGGAAACAGTGAGAAAAAAAAATTCATTTTCATTTTTTCCATTTTTCATGCTCCTCGACCGCCTGTCGTTTGGCTCGAGTTGGCCCAGCCGGAAAGCGTTGTCGGAGCTTCGGCCTTCCTAACTGGGCCTCCGGCTCGCTATCAGCAACTGAACCTCGCGCCTCGCACCCCGCTGCTCGTCCGGCCGGCAGCATCTCCTTCCGGCGCACCCTTGCCAGTCGTATCGCTCTGCCTCACACAGCGAATGAGATTCGGCCCAAGCCTCGTGCATGGCGCTGGGGCTGGAACCCTTGTACAGCAGCAGAACTTGCGCCACTACCGACCCTCTCCCCCTACGAGCAACCCTTAACATAGTAGCACCCCTTCCAACCCCTTCGTCCTTCCCTCTTCGCCCCACCATCCTCATCACCCTTCACCGTTCTCGCCTTTCGGCTGCCCTCCCTGCCGCTCGTGTCTTGACTGACAACGGGCCAGCGTTCCTCGCCACTTGCCTCTCTGTGCCAGCCATCACAGCCAGCACCACCTCGCCGACATCTCCTTTCGCCACCAGCAAAGCTCCTAGTTGGTCCAGCCACCATGGGTGTTCCCGAGCTCATCAACAACCTCAACCGCGCCGTCGCCACGTCGCCGGTCGGCTACTACTTCCGCCTCGATGGGTCTGGCCACCCTCTGTCGCGCCCTGGCTCGCGCTTCCTCACCGAGCTGCGTGCCGGTCTCGTAACCTTCGCCGCGATGGCCTACATTCTCTCGGTCAACGCCAGCATTCTCAGCTCGTCCGGTGGTCCGTGTGAGTGTGCCAACACCGCCGACGACCCCGTGTGCGCCAAGGACGCCGCCTACCAGCAGTGCACCGCCGTCCTCAACCGCGACTACGTCTTTGCCACCGCCATCTCCGCTTGCGTCGGCACCCTCCTCATGGCGCTCTTTGCCAACATGCCCCTCGGCCTTGCTCCTGGTCTCGGTGTCAACGCCTACTTCGCCTTCACCATCGTCGGAACCGCCGGCACCGGTATCATCCCTTACAGCCAGGCGCTCTCCGCCGTCTGGCTCGAGGGCTGGATCTTCTTTATCCTCTCGCTCTTCGGTATCCGTCAGTGGCTCGCCCGCCTGCTGCCCCACAGCATCAAGCTCAGCACGGGTGCTGGTATCGGTATCTTCCTGGCCTTCATCGGTCTCGGTCCCAACGGTCTCGGTGTCATCGGCGGCAACGCCTCGGACCTCATCGGTCTGGCCGGCTGCCCTGCTCAGTACGAGGACCCCGACACTGGCTTCTGTCTGAGCCACAAGCTCCAGGCACCCACCGTGTGGCTCGGTGTGATGCTCGGCGGTATCTTCACCGCCCTCATGCTGCTGTACCGCGTCAAGGGCGCCTTCCTTATCGGCATCCTGCTCGTCTCGATCGTCTCGTGGCCGCGCAACACCTCGGTCACCCTCTTCCCGCACACCCCCTCGGGCGACGATGCCTTCAACTACTTTAAGCAGGTGGCCAACTGGAACGGCCTTGGTCTGCTCGGTCCCAAGAACATCGACTGGTCCGGCTACAGCAACGGCAAGGTGTGGTACGCTCTCATCTCGTTCCTCTACATCGACCTGCTCGACACCACCGGTACCCTGTACGCCATGGCCAGCCACGCCGGTCTCATGGATGCGCGAACCGGTGACTTTGAAGGCTCCTCCGCCGCCTACCTTTCCGACGCCGTGGCCATCTCGATCGGCTCGCTCGTCGGCTGCTCGCCCAACACCGCCTTTGTCGAGTCCGCCTCGGGTATCGCCGAGGGTGGCCGCACCGGTCTCACAGGTCTCGTCGTGGCGTTCATGTTCTTCCTCTCGCTCTTCTTTGCGCCCATCTTCGCCTCGTTCCCCTCGTGGGCTACCGGCTCGACGCTGGTCATCGTCGGTTCCATGATGGCTTCCAACACGGCGCAGGTCAACTGGTCGTACGTCGGCGATGCTATTCCCGCCTTTGTTACGATTGTCGGCATCCCGCTGTTCTTCAACATTGCGTACGGTCTGATTGCGGGTATTTGCTGCTACATTGCGCTCAACGCCATCCCCTGGGCGCTGGTCAAGCTGTCCAAGGGCAGGATCGTGCCCGATGGCTGGGACACGATGAAGGAGCCTTGGGGCGCCAGGATGGTGTCGGCCAACGACGACTCGACCGGCATCTGGGCAGTTCTGCCGCCGTGGATGCGCAAGGTGATGAGCGGCAACTACAAGTTCTGGCAGATGACCGAGGACGAGATCGAGTTCTACCTCGAGGGCAGGCGCGAGACCCAGCGTCTCGCCCAGGAGCGACAGGACCAGATCGAGAACGAGCGAAACGCAATGTATGGCGCCGACGACGTCGAGGCGCGCGCCTCCACTTCGTCCGCCGAGCATGCGGATGAGAAGCACTCGACTGGAAGTCCCGCCTTCTCCCCCGTCGAAGTCCCTGCTCGCCTCCCCAACGACGCAGAGGTTCACCACGTCACCGGCACCGCTCGCTAGAGTCCACCACCACATCCCGCACATCCTGAAAATACAAGCATGGCGCCTTACTCGGCGCTGCAGCTTTGCTCTGTCCTTTTTACACTTTTGTACAATGTTCTCACACCACCAGCAGCGGCGCCACCGCCACCCTGCGGGCTCTGCGGGGCGCTTGTTGCGCTTAATACCACATTCTCTGCTCACGGATATCCACGCGCTCTTGTCAGTTTCAGTGTTGTACAAGATTCGTTGAGGTTGCTCGAGCTAGTTGGTCTCGACGCCGAGCTTTGCAAGGAGCGCATCGGCGTCGCGCAGCGCGTCGGTAGTCTCTGCATGTTCTTCATCCTCGCCATCGTTCGGGACGGCGAGGGCCTTCTTGATTTCGTCGAGAGCTGAGCACCAGCGCACGTTGGCGGTGTCGGTGATGTACCTTCCACCTGGGCCGGGGACCATCTTCTTGGCCGGTCGTGCAGGCGATGTGGGCGCTGGCTCGGCCGTGGTCTCGTCTTGCTGCGCCGAGGCTTTGAAGGCTTCGGCGAGACCCCAGCGCTTGAGTGTTGCTTCGCCGAGCGTTTCGTCGGCTGCACCCGTGCGCTTGCGCCTCAGAGACGCCGTCGAGGGGGTGGGGATAAGCGACTGCTTGGCTGGCGTGCGTCGCGACGCCTTGCCCTTGGCCACAAACGCCGCAAACTCGCGCTGGTCCGACACACTCCCGCAATTCGCACACCCGAGCTGTCGTTCCACCGCATTCTCCTCGTCATCCTGCGGGCGAGAGGGGTGCTGGAATTCGAGCGCCGGAATGGCCTGTGGCACCGGCTTGCGTTTCGTGTGGCTTGCAGTGCTGGGCGAGTGACGCAGCGCAGTGGATCCGGGGAAGAAGGCACGCGGGAAACCGTTGAATGTCGCCTGGCGCTTGAGCGGCGAGTTGGAGAAGCTGCGCTGGACGCGCAAAGGTGCGCCCGAGTAGGTGCCATCCGGCGAGGTCGGGCGCGACGACGTGCGCGGTGGCGTGTTGGGACACGCGAGCGAACGCAGCGATGCAATCGACACCGGCCGCGCGAGGTTCGTCACGTACTGGAACGGAATCGTGCGGCCAGGTCCGCACTCCTCCGTTTCGACAGGCGTGTCCCAGAAACCCCTGGCGGCAGGGAGCTCGGCCACTGTATCTTCGCTGTGCGCGCGCTGGGAGCGAATCTCGGCCGCATACGCCGACTTGGTGGGCGAAGGCGGCTCGAGCTTTGGCGTGCCGACGGCCGGCCCAGGCTGGAAGCAGTACGAGTCGTTGGATCCCTCGAGGGCCGCCGCAACTGCACGCATGCTGTCCGACTCGTGCATGCCTGCTGCCTCTGCCGATGACAGCGCCGATGCCGACGTGCGGGTGCTGAGCACAGGCTCCGGAGCGACGAGCGTCGTCTCGCGCGTCAGGTAGTCGTCCTCGCTGATATCGGCGATCGTGTGCTGATGAAGCACCGAGCTCTGGTGCCGACCACGCGCCTTGCGGATGGATGCCATGTCGCCCAGCGACTCGCGCTGCGCCAGGTCCGAAGACGAGCTGGATGATTCGGGCAGGTCGGCAAAGTCGGATGAGCTGACGGGCGGCGCGCGTGCGACCAGGCTCGCACTTGCACTGCTGCCGCTGCGCTTGAGGCTGAGCGAACGCTTGATCCTCCCCGACTTGCTCGCGACACTCAGGCTCCTCACAGCGCCCGGCGTCGTCGGCCGCGATGGAGGTGCGAGCGGAATATCGTCGAGCACAAGATCTCGTGCTTCTTCCTCGATCTCTTCCGCCTCGGCTTGTACGGGAGGCTTTTGAGCTAATGTGGCGCCATCCGCGTCATCGATAACCTCCTGAGCATACAATGGCTTGATCGGCGTGACTACCGTGGTCTCTGGTGGCGAGAAGGTGAGAGTTGTGGCCTCGGGAAGCTTTTTCTCGTCAAAGGGCGAGGCGGTTGCGGCGGTGGATGTTGACGAGTCGGACGTCTGCGCAGTGTGTGCAAAGACATTGCGTGCTTGCAGACGGTGAATCGCCGCGTTGTCGCCTCGTGCGTTTCGCGGGAGCGAGTCGAGCGCATGCTTGGAGCGACAGCCAAAGAAGCCGCCCTTCTTCTTCTTTGGAGGCGGAGTCGACATGGCTGCCGGTGCGGAGGCCACTTTGGAAGGCATGGCGAACCTAGTCGAGCGGTGGTGGATAGATCGCTTGCGTGAACAAGAGCAAGAACGAAGGTTGAGGACAGGTGAATGTGATAAGATGGTGGAGGTCAAGAAGAAGGATGGTTGATGAAGTCGGCGCAAGTGAAAAAGCGGAGAACCGGGCGGTGTCGGCAAGTGAAGTGAAGTGCTCAGGGGTGGGTTTGCGTGGGCTGGGCTGCAGTGTGAGGCCATGCTCGAGGAAGCTCTAAGTGGCTGCGGGCGTCATTGGACTCCACAACTGCACGTCGCTCGAGTGCCTTGCATGGCCTCGTTATCGCCGTGGCGCGGAGGGGAGGGGGACCCGGCGAGCTTGTATTCCCAAACAGGCAAGTGGGACGGAGCCTCAACGTGCATGCACAAGCGCTGTTCTGGTCGATCTACTCTGCATCCGCCGTACGTCCCGCCCTCCGCCTCTCTCGCTTCTTGGCATCGTTCTATTCCTCTGTATTCCTTTGTAGAATCACCAATTCGCCCTCTCCTCCTGTGCGTTTTGATGCGTTGCGTGACGATGGCATGGCGGCTTTAACCGCGAGCTGTCAAGTTTGGCTGTTGGCGGTCACAACACGATAAGCGAGAAGTCAGACTCAGGGGCTTCGCATTTTGCAGTCGGAATCGAAATTGCGAGTCGCATGAATTTTGACTGGCCAACTGCCCTGTTTTGGATTGCGTTGGATCGTGGCTCAACCGCCTCTCAGTCCAACACCTCGCCGACGCGATTTTGCATCGACGATGTCCTGCCATCGCAGCGCATCAATCGGGTTGATCATCGGGCATGACTACGCTAGTTCGGTTCGCTAGTTCGGGATGACGGCTTCGGCACGGTCCGCGCACGGTTGCTAAACTCCGGCGACGCCAAGTAGCTGAACTGCTTTCTTCCGACCGTTCCTCCATCTTCCAAGCAGAAGCCGCCATGCCTGTCAACCTGATCAACAGCTCGTCGACGGTGCAGCTCGAGCTACCCAAGTCCAAGGCTTCGGCCGAGGTGCGCCTGTTTGGTGCCACCGTCACCTCGTGGAAGGCAGCCGGCGGCAGCGAGCGCCTCTTCCTTTCGTCGGCGGCCGCCCTCGATGGTTCGGCCGCCATTCGGGGTGGCATTCCGATCGTGTTCCCGGTCTTTGGCTCGCCGAAAGACCATGCCGATGCTCCCGAACTCATCACCAATCTTGGCAAGCACGGCTTTGCGCGCGACCACGAGTGGGCCATCTCCACACACGTCCCGCGCATCGACGAGGAGGACAAGGTCGCCGTCACACTCGAGCTCAACACGGACTCGAAGCCCGAGATCAAGGCGGTCTGGCCTTTTTCGACTGTGCTGCGATACACGGTGACGCTGGCGCCAAACACGCTTCACTGTGCCTTCTCGGTGCACTACCTCGATTCGTCCAATGGCGCAGAGATGCCCTTCCATGCGCTACTCCACAACTATCTGCTGGTGCCCGACGCAACCAAGGCTTCAATTCAGGGTCTCAACGGGCTATACTACATCGACAAGGTCAAGGGCGGCGAGGAAGCTCGTGTGGATACCGACGACTTTACGCTCGATGCGCAGCCGATCGACCGCGTCCACGTTGGCAGGCACGAGACCACCTCGGCGGGCGAGCCGACGCGCGACATCAGACTCGTGTACAACGCTACCCTGCTGCAGGATCCTCTGGGACGCATGGGCAAGGGCGTCGAACTGACGCGATCGGCGACGATTGCCGACACGGTAGTCTGGAACTGCGCCGAGGAGGGCAACAAGGGTATCGCCGATCTCGAGCAGGGAGGTTGGAAGAAGTACGTCTGCGTCGAGCCTGGTGCGGTACACGGCTTCCAGACGCTCGCCAAGGGCAGCACATGGATTGCTGAACAGACGCTCACTGCCTGGTAGCCAGCATGCCATCAATCGAATGAAATGTCGAGCCGAGTCGCGTGTGTAAGCCGTAGAAAATGCCGACCGGGTGTGGAGGCATGAAGCTGGACGGCGAATTGAGCTCTGAGCGCTCACGATTACTTTATCCACCACCACCACCCTTCTGCGCTGTATGCATCTTCTTGTGCGACGCGGGACTGTCCGTTTCGGTCTGCTAGGGGTGACCTCTCGACGCGCTGGGCTGAGTACGACGTCGAAGATGGCGAAGAAATCCGCACGCGCGCTGGCGGCCGCCGAGGCCTCGCGCACGCCTCCGCCCGAGCCACCCTCGAGAGTGTCGGTCAACGACCTGTCGGCCAAATCGTGCCTGACATGTGGGAGGGTGATCACCCCGCGCGCCAAGTGGGCCTCTGACTGGGGTAGCATCAAGTACTGTTCTGACCGATGCCGCTCTTCGCGGCCTGGTAAACTCGTAGCCCGGTTCAGCCAGGCTGAGAAGCACGCCGCACTGGCGAAGTACGACGGGTGCAAGGTCAAGGGCGACGAGATGCATGTGGATGTAGAGCTGTGGGTCGAATCGGTGCTGCTAGACGTAGCTGCGCGAAAGAAGGAGGCTACGCTCGACGACGTACAGCAACAAATACTGGTTCTGCTCAAGGAAGCAGAGGTGTTGCAGGAAAGTGAACTCGAGCAGAGAAAGGCGGGTTCAGACGGGCAGGACGCAGAGGAGGCGACATGGACGGAAGATGAGCGGAGGCATCCGCTGTGGAAGGCATTAGACAGTGCGCCTGGGCTGCGAGAGCGTACACGACGCGCAGCGAGACGGCTGGCACTCGGCATCACCCACGACTCGGATCCAGCACAGACAGCCATCACTACGACCGAAAGCGGCCGAATCGAGCTGCTCCAGGCGCGCAAAACTCTTCGCACCGTCGAGAACCTCTCGTTCGCTAAGGGGACACTCACAGTTCGTCGCAAATCGTAGCGCCATCAGATCATCGACAGACACTTGCCGTTAAGACAGTGATACCCTGACACAAACTGAGCACTGACTGTGAATGATTCCAACAAGGAGGCGCAATGGGTTGTGGAATTTCAAGGGCGAGCACTGTCTATGCACGAATCTAAGCCTCGTCGACGTTGAAGCCGACATCCCAACCGAGCTCCTCGAGAGTCCAGCCGATGACTCTCTTGGTCTGCTTGTTGTATGCCGAGACATTGAGCCTGGTGCTTCTCTTGGGATCCTTGCTGATTGCATCGATGGTCTTCATCTCTGCATCGCTGAGTTTGAGCAGCGTGATGTTTTGCTTCATCCTCTTTTCGTTGGTCGACTTGGGTGCCACGGAAGTACCTCTCTGCACCGCCCAGCTGAGCGCAACGTTGGCGGTGGTGGTATCGTGAGCTTTAGCGATCTGCTCCAGGTCGCTATCCTTGTGGATGGGCGAGTTGTACTGTCCCAGCGGGCTGTAAGCTGTCACATGGATGCCCTTCTCCTTGCACAGGTCGACGAGCTCCTGATCGGGCAGATATGGGTGTGCCTCAATCTGGTTCACTGCCGGAACGACCTTGGCAGTGCGCAGAAGGATCTCCAGATTCTTGGGAGAGAAGTTCGAGATGCCGATCGCCTTGACCTTGCCGCGGTGGGTGTTGAGAAAGATGTCCTCCATCTTTGCCCACGTCTCGTTGAACGTAGGACCGAGATCCTTCTGGTTCTCGAGACCGAAGGCTTGGGCCGAGCTCATGTCGGTGGAGGTGAGGCCTTGAGGCCAGTGCATGAGCCAGAGGTCAATGTAGTCGATGTTGAGTTTGCTCAGCGATGAGTCGATCTCCTTGACCGGATCCTTCACGGCCGCGGGGGACATCTTGGTGGTAACGAAAAACTCGGATCGTGGCACGCCCGACTCGCGAACCGCCTGGCCAACTTCCTCCTCGTTGGCATAGAACTGCGCCGTGTCCAGGTGGCGGTAGCCGACCTTGATGGCGGTGAGCAGCGCAGAGACCAGCTCGTTGTCGCGGCCGGCGCCCTGCTGACCCTGCCAGCATCCCATGCCGACCGAGGGGATCTTGGCACCCGTGTTGAGCGTGAACGAAGGAATGTCTGCCGCCATGTTGAGAGAGATAGAGAAGTATATTCAAATCCTCTACAGATGATGGCTCTGAGGCAGGTTGCTGACGCTGGTTCAATGGCCTTCTTATAACCGTGCACCAGGCTGCCTCGTCCGCTGACATGCGAGCAAAAGCCGTCGGAGCATCTCGCACGGTCGTTGTGGAGGTTGCACAAAAATTCCAGCCTTCCTCCACTTGTCCAGCTCAGCGGTCGGAGATTATTGCTGTGCATTGCCGACGGTCGCCACGGATACGCACGACACACAACTGCAAGATGGTTGGCAGCTTGTATTCCATCGCTCTTCACACAGGGGCGCTCGTATATGCGCCGATGCTATCCATCCATGCGCCGCTCGTTCCATACAGCCCCACAATCCTGCCCTCGCCCGACGCAGGCTCCAACGTCCGGAGCGATCCGCCTGTCACATTGCCTCGCATCCCGCTCGTCTTTCCACTGCGCAGCACTACCTCGACTGCATCGATCCACGCGCCTGCCCTCACCTTGATCTGAGCCACCGCATCGCCCCGGTCTACCGTTAGTCGGAAGGGCGATCCACCACACGGACCGAACACGACGCGCGGGCCGTTGGCATAGTGGAACTGGAGCCCATCGAGGCTCGCGCCGCTGAAGATGTCGATGGCGACGAGATGGGCGTGCGGCGTGTCGTCGCGCTCGTGCGGAAAGATGACATCCCACTGGCGACCCGATGTGTTGGTCTGCCCGAAAGGAAGCGACCGCACGATGGTGCGCCGCGAAGAGTCGATGCCGGGCAAACGGAGTGGACGAGCGACACCGTTCTGGCGGAAGTCAGGCAGCTCGGCCTGTCGCATATTGCATGCGAGCGCATTGAGCTTGATGCGAGGGGAGGTCGGGTGACTCACATCGAATCCGACCTTCTGGCTAAGGTAGGCTGCGTCGATGACGGTCTGTCGGGGAGGCACCTGTGGCGGCCGCCCATCGATGGGCAGGTTCAGCCATTCGATATGCGTCTTGTACGCGCCATCCACCTCGATCTCGAGTGTGCCGATGCCGGACTCGCACTTGAGCAGCGCGCCTTGCGGGGTGCTCGTCCACGCGGGCTCGTTTTCATTCCACTGCACCCATGTCGCCTGGTCATTCGCGCGCAGGTACGGTAGCGGCGGATCCGAAGGGATGTAGAAGCACGGGTGCCAGCGAGCTCTGACCGCCTGTGCACGGTGGATGTGGTTGTGCTCGTCGTCGTTGCCCGCGTGAATGGGTGCAAAGAAGCCGCCGGCCGCAACGCCGTTTCGTCGACATCCGGGCTCGCGCGTCATAAAGGCGCGGTTGAACTCGACGTATCCACGCGCCATGAGGCCCGACGGCCAGTGCGGATTATTGAGCGCATGCCCTGCCTCGTGAAAGAACGCCCCCGAGCCGATGTTGAGCGTCTGCCATGCAGTCGGGCACTCGTTCAGATCGTTGACGCAACACTCTTCGTCCGTCGGCTCCGTATCGAGAAAGGCGGTAGTGACCTGCTGCAGCGAACTGGGTGCTGCCCAGAGCCAGTGACTACCCATGACGCCGTGCGACAGACTGCCGGGTCCACCGGCGCCGAGCGCGGCATGTGCGCGGATCAGCCGCATCTTGGCGTCGTACATCGTGTCGAGCGTGAGCACAGCCACGGGCGACCAGCGGAGAAACTGTGGCGTCGATGGATCCTCGAGCGCTTCACGAGCGAAGCCGTGCATCGCTCCCGCGTTACGAGCGTTGGACTTTTGCTGTGCATTCTCGGGATCGCGGAACTCGCGCAGACTTCGTCGTGACTTGAGCAGGTGGATGTGCGGGAGTGACTCCAGCGCACGTTTTGGGGCGCTGGACGATCCGGGCGCAGGGTCCGAGTGCGCATCGTCGAGCTGAAAAGCGCGCCTTCCCATGCCGTGTCTTCGCATCTGCTCCGCGTGGAAGGCCTGCCACAAGTACGCTTGTAGAGCGATGCGACACTTGACCTCGGCGATGCCCCCCGACCGTAGCGCCTCACGCCTCGGACCCGGCGGTGCATCTACAATGGCTCGATCTGCCTCATCCACGGGGCCGCCTCGAGGTCCTGCGGCTATATCGAGTCTGTCCATCGCCCTGTTCAGGAATCTGGAAACTTTGTCCGCTTTGCGCGGCTGAGCTGAATTTGTGGCTTCGTTTCCAGATGGCCTTGGTGGGACAACAGGTGGCTTTCGCCCGTCGTTTTGCCAGACGGGCGAGTCACACGCTGCAACAATCACGAGATGCAGAGGTGGAGCACTGCTAGGCCGATCGTATGTGACCGAGACGGTCTCGCTGCCATGTTCGCTAGACCCATTGATGGTCCAATTGAGAGTCAGGTCGTTCTTGCCGGGTGTGAGGGGTACGAGAGCCTTAAAATAGCCTTGGTTGATCTCCCAGATTTGCTCTTCGAAGCCTGAGGTCAAGTCATGCGAAACAGTGAGTTGACCACTAGGCGAGCCCGAACCGACGGTGCCTTCGACGATCAGGAGACGGGTATAGACAGACTCGCCAGGCTGCAGATTTGTGAAGCGCAAGGTGAACTTCTGAGACGACGGACGCTGTGGAACCGGCGGAGGAGGCACCATGTTGTCCAGATGAGAATGGCGCCAGACTCAAACCAGAACAGAGGTGGGTTCTAGAGACCGATGGCGCGCCTACGCTTGGGGCTGCTGAGGAGTGCAATGACGGCGCACGAGGCGAGGAAGTTGCAGAAGCGGAAGAAGGCCTGCCTGGAGACGGCGCGTTCCTGATCGTCGGTTCGAGAAGAGCTGAAGATGCGCCGCAAGTTGGGCAGAGGCATTGCGAGCGTTGGGCGTGTGCAAGTATGGCAGGCTGATGGTGGTGGGCGGCTGACAAGTGCGAATGAAGCGGCGCATTGACCATCCCACCCAACTCGTTCTCGGTTGTGCTCCGTGAGCGAATTCCGAGAAATGAGGCGAAGAAGGGTCCAGCTGCGATCCTTCTTGCTGCGAAATTTTAGCGTTCTTCTTCTCCACCTCCTCGATGCTTCTTGGACAACGATCCATCGTCTAGACGAGCGCACATCGGATCACAATGCGGGACGACGGGAGCGAGGAAGAGCGCGTCTACTGCTCAAGCTCCTCTTCGACACGCAGCCGCTCACGGTCACGGTCTCGCTCGCCGACGTCGCTGTTCGAGGATTCGCTCTTCACGCTCTTCTCGCACAACCAACCGGCCCACGGCGATCCAGGCGACGTATGCAAGTACACGCACACCAACCTGCCACCACGCAAGATTGACTCGTCATCCGGCTCGGCTCCACGCAAGGCGACGCTGCGCTACCGCATCGCACAAAATAGCGGCACCAACACGAAGCTATTCGCGCACCACCAGTGGGATGCCGGACTCTACCTTGCGGATCTCATCGCCGAGCAGAGCTTTGTCACGACACAAAGTCAAGCTGCGTCCGAGGTGGCTTTGGGAAAGCAGAGAGATGCATTTGCCGATGTGCGCGGAAAGACGGTAGTAGAGCTGGGTGCCGGAACCGGCTTGCCTGGGCTGGTGGCGTGCGTGATGGGCGCGGCCAAGACGGTGATCACCGACTATCCGGATCCGCACGTCATCGAGAACCTTCAAGGCAACCTTGATCTCGCTCTTCTTTCAAAGCCGAATACAGCAGGCAACAGCTCACAGAGGCGCCCGAACCCGCATTACGCCGAGGCACGGACAAGGGTCGAAGTTCTTGGTCTCGGTTGGGGCAATCACGATGAAGAAGCGCGTGTCTACAATTCATCTCTCTCGTCCGGTGGGTCGGGCGGGGGGTACGATGTGGTTCTAGCTGCCGATGTGTTGTGGGTGTCGTCAGCACATCCTCTACTGATTCACTCGATACGCGCGCTGCTCAAGCGGGATCGCAACGCACGCTGCGTCCTCATTGCCGGCTTCCACACGGGTCGACCTGCTGTACGACGCTTCTTCGTGCAGCTTGCCCAGGCCGACACGACGGGCGATGGGACGCTTGCAGACGGTCGTACCGCAGGGATTGTACCCGACTGGGAAGAAGCAAGCTATGCCGGTATCTGGGAGCGCAACATTGACGGAGCCACACGCGCGTATTCCGATACCGAGGACGACATGGGCGACATCAGCGATCGTGGCAGCTGGGTCGTCGTCGCCTCGCTCAGATGGGCTGATCTAGTATGATCGTCACGTACGCACAGTCGCAGAATCATAAAAAAAAGGGAGCAACAATTAAGCACACGGGTATCTGCGATACAACAAAAGCGTCAGGAAGGAGTCTACGCCTGGTCGCGATTCTTCTTGTCCTCGGCTTCGCGGATGGCCTTGGAGCCATCCTTGGCCTCGTCGAAGTTGTAGAAGGGGAAGTCGAAGAGGATCGTAGACTTGACCCACCGCGGCAGCTTGGCGTAGAGGCCGTTGGGAAGGGGGATGAGCATCGAGGTGCGGTTGCGGAAGGCCTTCATGCGTTGCCATGCGTCGGTCTCGGTCTGGTCGCGCCATGGTTCGAGGCCCTCTGTGTTTTTGTCCGGGCCGTGGGACATGAGGAAGTACTTTTGCTGCGTGGGCTTTTCAGCCAGCGGGATGCCCGAGAGGAAGAGCAGCAGGGCCATGGTGATGAGTGGCGAAAAGATGGAGCCGTACAGTGCGTCGTGACCGCGAGGCGATGCTTCGGTCGAGTTGCCAATGGCCAGCAGCCACACACCCCACCACAGCAGGATCTCGCCAAAGTAGTTGGGTCGGCGCGAGTACTTCCATACGCCCGCATCGGTGATGGCACCCTTGGGCGGCTTGGTGACCGACTTGAAGCGGTACTTCTGAACATCCGCCAGCGCCTCTACCACGAATCCGACCGCAAAGAAGATGATTCCAACGACGTCCTTGCCGTTTCCGAAACGCGCATTGCCACCTCCGTTGGCGGGGTTGCTCGACTCGGGCGAGTTGAGCACGTTGACGGGCATCGAGATGGTCCACACCCAGATGAGCTGGAACGTCCAAAATCCCAAAAAGCTGAGGGGCTTGGATCGCATCTCGTCGAAGCGCGTGTCGCCGCCCATCTTGAACATGCGGAAGAGCTGGAAGCCTCCCAGACGCAGGCCCCACAGGATGGCGAAAATCGTGGCGATCACATTGCGCGCATAGTACTGGTCGCCGCAGCAGAGCGTGAAGATGGCGAGGAAGATCACGTTGATCGCCGACCAGCAGTCGGTGATCGTGTCGATCTGCAGGCCGAACGCGATGGCAAAGCCGAGCAGCTGCCAGCCGAGCGAGATGAGGAAAGCGATGGAGAGGTAGAAATCGTCGAGAACGTGCACCACCATCTTTGCTGAGGTGGCTGTCTGACTCGGACAGCAATAGGCAGGTAGCGTGGATGATGGATGATGGATGGCAGGGGAGCCGAAAAGGTGGAACCGAATCGACTTTAACCAGTCTGAGTCTCAAAGAAGCTGTTCCTCAGCCAAGTCAGCAAGTGGAGGTATCGCCCGCCCTCTGAACTTCTTGGCGCGGTGGTCAGCGTTGGTCCTCCCCCAAATGGCCCACTTTGGTCATCGACCGGAAACGCTCTATCCGCCCAGTGGCAAGACCCTTGGTTCTGCGCCCATGACGACGACGACGATGCAAGGGTTCAGGTGAATCACCCATACCAACGGAATGCGCGGTGCCAAGGCGTATGTCTCCGCGGCGCACAAGGGCGCTTTGCTAAGCCGCATGAAGCAATCGCTCCGGCCACGGAACTCGGATTTCGGATGTGCCACTCAGCTATGACGCACCGCTGCAGGAACAAGCTCGGTCCAGGGTCTGCCCACAAACCTCAGCAGACCCTGACCTTGCTTCACCTCACACACTCATCACCACTTGCACAGTAAAGACGGGTGACAGCTTCTGGATGACACCTTCCTTTCAATCTAGCTTCTCAGCAGGAATCACCTGCGTAGGGAGCCACACCCCCCTCTCGTCGGCTTGCGCCACCTGGACCCGGACGTATCGCTCGTTCTTGCCGTCGTCCGCACCGTCGGGCGAGGCAAACGCTCCGTATGCACACCACGTCTGTCCATCGGGACCGGTGAACAAGCTTCCGCTTCCCGGTCCATATACGCCCTGACTCGAGTCGGACGCCAGGATGGGCTGTCCGCGCTGGTACCATCGGCCCACGTCGAGCGGATCCTCGGCGGCATCGATGTAGAGCAGCCGCGTGTTGTAGTTAGACTGGTAGAAGTTGCCCTCGGCGTACATAAGATTGAGGGTGCGCGAGCCGTTGACCTTGTTGTCGTACACCCAGCTACTCGGCGCTTCCGTGTTGACACCATACGAAACCAAGTCCACCACGGCACTCGCCGCACGAGCAGGTGCGCCGTTCTGCAACTGCACGAGCTGCACGTACTCGTGATTGGACCATGTAAGGTACGTGTTGCCGTTCGGATGCACAATAACGTGCGGATCGTAGCCCTGCAACGCCACGCCATCTTGGCCGAGCACACGGCCAAGGTCGGTATACTGGCCCAAGGGGTCGTCGGTGTCCGAAATGAGCATGCGCATCGTATCGTCCTGGATCGCAGAGACCGTGTACAGGTATCGATCGCCCAGCCGAACAATGTCGGCAGCTTCGGTACCCACACCCTTCGGATACGAGACGTTCGAGTACTCGTAGATCGCAAACATCTTGCCCTCGTTGCGGTAAATATCGTTCAGATCGTCGCTCGCGCGCAGGAACACCTTCATGCCAAAGTCGACGTCCGTCACCAGGTAGAAAGGCTTGCCATCGCGAGTCGTGGTGAGGAACTGCGGGTCGAATCCTTCGCCTAACGAGTTCTGCACGCCAGGTGCAAGCGCAGGCGCAAGGCCTGAAGCATCTTCGTTGATCGCGTCGCTCCCGGGTGCGCCGGATCCAGCCTGCCTTGCTGCGGGACCAAAACGTCCGTACGGGACATCGTGGAATCGACTTGAGTTGGCGGAGCCGCCACCTTGCTTGAGCCTCGACGCGGTGCCTCTCAAAGGTCGAGCGTATACCGATTGGAACGCGGCAGCGGCGCAAAGAACCCAAGAGATCTTGACAAACATGTCAAGCAACGATCGCGTGATTCTCACCGTGCTCCAGGCAGCGGTGGATTGCAGATACGTAAGGTACTTGGGACGCCGGCGACACAACACCGTCGCGGGATGCTCCCGCTGGCCAACAATAGTGGACCTATATACTTCCAAGATCTCAGGCTACTCAATCTCCGCGGCTAATCCACGATCTACGGGAAGCTCGAGGGTCGCCTTGCAAGCTCACCCGACGCTGGACGCATCGTCATTTGCAGCCACTCGGTCTTGGCAACGCCGGTATCGTCGGTCGAGCTGCAACCATTGCAGCACGCACCGTAGCCGAGACACCTGAACTCTACAGAGGGTGCAAATGTTGTCGTGGACCCTTGCTTGGAGACCGCGTAGCAGAAATGACATGGCTCGTCGGCGTGTTGACCTATTTGGTCTCGCGCTGCACTTGTCGTCTCGAGCCTGATGAGCTTCCTGGTCATACTTCAGCTGCAACTGACACTTTGGTTCTTCATTCTGCTCATAGCGAGAGCTGCCGAGAGAATCACAGCAGGCCGAGGCAGAATGTTGCTTGAAGCGGATCAGCATGAGGCTGTCTGGGTCGGCCTAACATAGTGCAGGTTTTAGCCGCAGTGCAGAGATCAACACTTTACGCGCCGCTCAGCTGCGCCCAACGCGTGACAGGCGTGACAGGCCTTGTTTGTGGACACTTTTGGCGGCCCCTGTCGCCTCAGAGTCGGCCGGAACCCTGTTGGCTGGGTCCGCCACGCTGCGAGGCGATGGAAAGTGCAGGGTCTTTTTCATTAGCAAAGTGCAACATTCCCTCTCTCCCTCTGGCGTCACACTCTTTCACACCGTCACAGAGCAACACCCAACCCACTCACGGGCCCCACTGAGCACATCACCTCGCGCTCTCATCAGCCACGCACATGCGGACGTCTGCAGCAGCGGAGACGTAGCTGGACTCACACGCCATCTTCACACAAGATGAACACCGGCTACGGAATGCCTTCGCGGCGTCGACTGCGCGGCCCACTTCACCCACGCAATCGACCACCACCTTCATCGTTCGATGAGCCCGCATCTTCGCCGCAATCAGCACCACAGACTGGATTCGACGCGGCCAGCATGCCGCCGCCTTCATCTACACCATCCAGCAAGAAGCGCGAATGGACCTCTACCATCGGCCGGGGTGGTCTCGGATCGCTGCCATGGGAGCAGATGGGCCCCTCTTCGTCGGGCCCGTCCACCTCGAGCGCCGAGTTCAGCTTTCAGTCCGGTATGGCCATGCCGCAGAGCACATCCACGACTTCGATGGCATCCATGGCATCCATGCCCTCCTCAAGTAGCGCCAGCTCGTTTGCCAGCTTCCGACAGCAGCCCACACCCATGTCCGCTAGCCCTTCGAGCTTCCGCACCGCCGCCGACGCAGACGAGTCTGGCTACGCTGCGAGAAGCACGATCTTCTCGCGCGGCAACCAGTCGGCGCAAGCAGCGCTGCGCGAAACATCGCAGGCGCTCCACGAGTCGACATATGCGACAGCCGACGAGCAACCTCGCAAGCGCCGGCGTGGCCTCGCAGGTACCATCGTCGATACTGCGCTCAATGCAGCGCTCTACACGGGCGCTGCTGCGCTCACCGCCTACTCGCTATGGTCGTCGTGGGGCCATGCGGGAGATGCAGAGCAGCAGCAGCACCATCCCGATGCGGGGCCACAGGCGGACATGGGCGATGTGATTTCGCAAAACGAACGTACGAACACATTCAGCGGCAAGGAATCCAGAATGCCGCCAGGCGGACTCGAGGAGCCACCGCCGCCCTACTACGAGGACCACTCGACGCCTTCGAGGCAAGAAGCGGCGCCGACCACGCCGCAGTCCAACTCGGTCCGCACCCGCAAGGTGTTTGTCTCGTCGCAGCGCAACCGACGCCGACCGACGTTCCAAGGATCCAAGACGCACCGCCAGAGCACGCCACGCAAAGCACTGCCCGACGCCTTCCGTGCCTCACAGACCGCTAACTCGCCGGGTATGAGCGCGAGTGGAAGTCAGGACCTTGCACCGGCACAAATGGAGGACGACGACGATGATGATGACGACGACGACGACGACGAAATGCTGTCGCGCTTTGAAGCCAAGATGAATGCGCTCATCGCCGAGGGCCAGGCTGCGCTCAACTCCACGCCTGTGCTGCAAGAGTCGGATCTGCGAGACATCGATACACCGTCGCCGTCTCTGGGCCTGGGCACGCACTCGCGCTCCTCGACGCCGCTTTTCGGCCAGCGATCGCAGTTGCCCGGATCGCCATTCGCGTCCCTGCAACCAGACGCAGGGGTGGCACGCTCCAGCTCGCACCCGGACGACCTTGTGCCCAGTGGCGCGCTGCCCGAGCCCGTCAAGCGCACGTTTGGCACCAGTCTGCGCCACTCGCGCTCGGCGTTTGACTTTCAGTTCGACAACCGTGCTGCAGCCGACACGGGTGCTGGAGCTGCACGCTCGCCGTTTGTGTTTGGACGTGCCGAGCTCAACGAGAGCGCAACACCGAGTCCGGCGGCGAGGCAGGCACGACGCACCGATCTAGGCACGCCCACTAGCCCGTACAGCCGCATCCCGCGTTCCACCTCGACGCTCAACGCGCGCAAGTCGACCCCACACCACCGCTGACCCCGTTTATACCCGCCCATCCCCCACACTCGATCTCTAATCTACGCGACCTCACGCTCATTGAATCCACGCTAGACAACGCCATGCTTCGTGCGTGCATACATGAAATTTCCTCTGCAAGCTGTGAGCGATACGCCCTACTCATCGCGCACATAGTTGCCGGGGAATACGCCTTTCTGGCCAGCAACGATGCCGGTCCACCAATCGTCGGTGGACTGGGTTCGCTCTGTCACTTCGATCCTGTCGCCTGCCTTGAAGCTGAGATCTCCATCAGCGGTGGCGGTGTAGTCGTAGAGCGCCACGACGTACGTGCGTGGTGTAGCGCCCGGTTTGGGCTTGATAGGCGGGGGTGGTGGAGGTCTCTTGGTTACGCCACCTGCAGCCGCCGCACTCGTGGGCGAGTAAGCGGGTGGAGCTGCAGCAGCTGCATTCGAATGGGAGCTGAGAATCGAGCCCGAGCGACTGGGTGCGCCTGCAGCCAAACCGCCGATACGCGACCCGGAAGGACTCAATCCACCACCGCTGGCTCGATTCTGCGCAAGGATCTTGGCGGTCGGCATGGCACCTCTACGGATCGTCAAGTTCTCCAGTCGTTCGGCTGCATCCGTGAGCTGCGCCATGTACGTATCCTCTACAACCGCGATCGAGTTGTTGGTCAGATCGTACTTGCCCTGCGCAAACGTCTGCAGCCTCTCCATGGTGAGGTAGAAGACGTTGAGCTGCATGTAGTAGAAGCTGTGGAAGAGCGGCGTCATGAAGCGGCTCGCCATGTCAAAGAAGCGCGGCAGCTCCTCCTTGAGCGCATTGTTGTAGTACTCGTAATCCGCCGCTGCCGTCTCGTACTCCTGCTCCACCTTGAAGAGGTTCTGCTCGTCCTTGAGGCTCTTGTCCTTCTTGTCGCGCAGCTTGGAGTACGAGTTGTTGTGCCTGTCGTAGTCCACCAGCTTGTGGTCGCGCTTGGTGATGTTTTTACGGATCGCCTTGACCACCATCTGGAAGTCCTTGGTGGGCGCGATCACGCGACTCTCGATGAGCTCGATCTCGGGCGTGAGCGTCTCCTTGAGCTCGTCCATCAGCTGACCGTATGCGGACAGGTTGACGATGGTGTGCTGCGCATTCGGATGGCGATGCTCCAGATCGTACTCGGATCCAATCGGCTGGAAGAGCGTGTCGAAGTGACGCCCAAAGTTGGCGCCGGAGAGCAGCATGTTCTTGACGGCGTCGCGGAAGGTGGATGCGTCCTTGAGCAGCTTTTCCGAGAGCTTTTCGAGGTTGGTGAAGCGCTGATTGAGCGAGTCGAACGCCGCATCCGACGACTTGGCCGCCATGCCGATCTTGCTCGTCATGAGGTGCGGCGTGCGCTTCATGGCCTTGGCGAGGCCCTTCATGGTGATGCACTACTATCCTGCTGGGTCTGTGGCGCCCAGGACCGGATGGAAGGTTGTGTAGGGGAAAGGATTCGAAGCCGGGGCGGAGGACGGCGGCGGCGGCGAATGGTGAGGTGGATGTAGATGGTGACGAGGACTGGTGGAGTGGAGCGGCTGTGCTCAGACGGCCGCCCATCGGCGTTCCTGGGAGGCGCAACAGCCAGACTGTAGACGGCCTATCGGGCTTGGCTTGGCTCGGCTTCCAGAAAAAGCACGGACTCCAGAGCAGAGACAGCACAGCTCAGCTTGCGCCCCAATGCGACTTTCCGTCATCGCAGTCCGCGCAGCGTTCTCGGCACGTTTGGCCGTTCCCTTTCTCGTGCGCGTAATTCTTTTTTTTTCGTGAGGAGGGAGCCAGATACGGCCTAACACATTGAAACCCGCCCTCACGAATCCACCTCCCACCGCCATAGCATCACCACGACATTGGGCAACAGACATAGTCGCATTCGAAGGGGTTACAGGAGCTTCGAAGATCTGATCATCCCGCCAGAAAAGGCGCTCGCGGAGATGACGGCTCCTTTGAAAAGGCTGGAGCAGAGACTGTCGGTAGGCAGAACGGGCGGGGCAACAACGTCGCCTTCGCGTCGCCAGCATCTTCTCCTTGTACCACAACCTACTTACGCGGAACGATTCAACCGTCTCGGCACATCAGCGGGATTGACCAGTTGCACAACTGCTAAGGCACTCTCATTCTCACTCTACGGCCAGGTAACAGACAAGCCTTCGGAACCCAGCCATCGGCCCGGCAGCATGTCGTCGAGCACAGTGTTGGGGCGCCGCGGTGGCTTGAGCGCGTCTCTGCTAGGCCGAATTTCTGCCGGACGCCGGTTCAGCACTCGCCGGACCCTGGACAGTGCGCGCCCCCAACCGGCATCTTCCCCGCATTTACCGCCTGCCACAAGCGCTTGTTCCCGAACCCCAACGAGCTATAATCCATTGCTTTCTTCAAGCCCCTTTACGACCACCTCATCCCTTCTTGCCCCTGCACGCTTTCGACCTTTCAGTTACAGCGCCCGCACATTGCAACCCATTGTACACATCCCTGGCGACCCCAAGAACATCATGTCCAAGCCCGTCAACGCCAACGTCGACTTCGACAAGACCGTCGGCCACGACGCCGGCACGCAGCCCGTCGCATGGAACCGCCGCGACCTGCTCACCTACGCCGTCAGCATCGGTGTTGGGCCCGAGGACCTCGACTATGCCTACGAGCGCGAGGCTGGATTCCGCGCCTTCCCGACCTACCCCGTCGTGCTGGCTCTCAAGGGCACCTCGCAGGACACCACCGTCTTCTCCGAGATGGTTTCGTCCCGCGCCGCCGTTCCTGGCTTCCCCTCGCTCGACCTCAACACGGTGGTGCACGGTGAGCAGTCGATCGAGATCCATGCTCCGCTCCCGCTCGTCTCGGGCGAGGGCTGGAAGCTCGAAAAGCGCATCTCGGCCGTGCACGACCGACCCAACGGTCTGGTCATGGAGACCGAGATGCGTCTCGTGAGCCCCGTGGGTCGCAACCACGCCACGATCATCGGAAGCAGCTTCTACCGCGGTGGTGGTCAGGGCACCGGCTTTAGCAAGGCGCTCAGCAAGAGGCTGCCCCAGCCAAAAGCTCCCTCGCGCGAGCCGGACTTTGTGCTCGCCGAGAAGACCACGCTGCAGCAAGCCATGCTCTACCGTCTCTCGGGCGACTACAACCCGATCCACATCGACGGCGGTCTGGGCAAGAAGGTGGGTCTGGGCGGGACCATCCTGCACGGACTGTGTTCGTTTGGCTTTGCGGCGCGTGCGGTGCTCAAGGCTGTCGATCCCAACGACGGTGTGCCCGCCAACCTGACCAACTCGAGCGCGCGACACGAACTCGAGGCTTTCGCAGTCCGCTTCACCTCGCCCGTCAAGCCGGGCGACGAACTCGAAACCAAGGTCTGGATCATCGGCACCAAGGATGGAAAGACCGAAATCGCCTTTGAACAGTTCGTCAAGGCGACCGGTAAGAAGAGTCTCGGTGCGGGCTATGCACGCGTCGTAAAGATCCCCAACAACGACGCCGCCCGCTTCGCAAAGCTCTAGCTTCCCTCCTGCTCGCAGCTTTATCCCCCTCGAATCAATGCCAAAATATTCGTGTCACATTCACACTTGTCGTTGCCAGCATTGCATCAAAAGTCAATCGAATGAGATTGCAATTGAGTCGGGCGCGATCAGAACACGACGCGCTCACGCATGTCGATGGGACGGATCCAGATGAGGCCCGGTCGCGAGCGTGCGCGGACGATGGCCCAGGGCGTGGTTGTCTCGATCCTGTTTCCCTGTGCATCCGTAGTGGGTGCGGGCGCTTTGGGGATCCTCGGTCGTCCGTCGGCATCCATGACGCTGGCGAGCAGCCGTGCTTTGGTCTGCGCCGATTCGGCCGGTCCGGCACAACGCGAGATGAGTTCCTTGGCATGCTCGGCCGTCCCCTCGGTCTCGATCACAATCCTACCGTGCCATCCCGCATCGACGCCCTCGGCTGCCACCGCACCCGCCTCGATGCTGATCACCGCACGGTAGAGCCACTTGGCAATCCGGTACCGCGCGCCCTGCGGCGAGAACGTCTCCACCTGATCCTGCACCAGCCGCATGGTCGACACGATCTGATCGCGCCATGGAAGCACGTCGAGGTAGATGACTGGCTGAGAGGCATCGCTGGACCGGATGATGTTGTGGTAGTAGCTCGGCGCGAACACAAACGCATTGAGCCACGAGGGCAAATGTCCGCCCCGATCGAACATGAACGAGAGATCGCGCAGGTAGCGTCCGTCGAAGACGTACTTGCCCTCGTTGCGTTCGTCGCCCACGGCACAGTCCCAAACCACATCGCCCTTCTGCAGATGCGGCCAGACGCCGCCGATGAACAGCTCGCGCTCGCACCGCGCCAGCTCGGTATCGCTCAGCCAGCCGCCTGT